CCTGTGGTCTTGCTCCCACTCCACACTGTTCAAACACTGTAGCCAGAATTACCTTTTTAAAGGGCAGCTCTTGTCACCTGTTCCCATGTCAAAATTTCAATAGCTTTCTTATTTGAATAAAAATTACCTGCTTCCACTTGAAATTCCAGTTTCCTGCTTGAGGCAGGTCTTCTCTCAAGCCTGCCTTTCCAATACTAACTCCAAACGTCTTTTCCCTACCCCGCAGTACGTGCACACTCATGGAGAGACACAGCCTCGTGCTCACTTCTCAGCTGCCACATCTTTGTCTCTTTCTAGAATGCCACTTCCCACATTCTGTCTGCCTGAGCCACCTTCAGGCCCCACACAGATGCTCTATTCTCAAGAGACTTTTCTACATGTACAAAGTCAAGATTCATCTTTCTCTCCCCTCTTTTCCTGTTAAACTCTGACTCATTCATAGGACTTACCACACCCTGCCTTATATTAATATTGGGCATGTGCCCTGTACTAGGCTACTTAAATGTTCTTTGAATAAAAATATTGACTGTAGATAATGAATACTAATCTACTTTCAAGTTCAACTTCCTGAAGCACATTTATTCAGCTTTCTCTATGAGTATCTGGGCATTTAATGACAGTATGTTGCAGGGGTGACAGAAGCGCCTTTTCACTCTGCAGCAGACTGCTCTGAGAAGCCTGGCTTAATGATTTTTAACAGACATGAGAAACAATCTTACATCTATCGCAATGGATAGCTTTCTGGCTATAATACTTTATTCATCTATTTTCTCTTTACACCTATGTTCATTTTACATATAGATGTTTTTAAAAACACATTGTAGGCTGGGCATGGTGACTCACGCCTGTAATCCCAGCACTTTGGGAGGCCAAGGCAGGCGGATCACCTGAGGTCGGGAATATGGTGAAACCCTGTCTGTACTGAAACTACAAAAAGTAGCTAGGTGTGGTGGCATGCACCTGTAATCTCAGCTATTTGAGAGGCTGAGGCAGGAGAATCGCTTGAACCTCAGAGGTGGAGGTTGCAGTGAGCTGAGATCACACCACTGCTCTCCAGCCTGCATGAGAGTGTGAGACTCTGTCTCAAAAGAAAAACAAACAACCCCCCCCCCAATTTAAAAAGTAGCCGGGCACGGTGGCTCACGCCTATAATCCCAGCACTTTGGGAGGCCGAGGTGGGTGGATCATGAGGTCAAGAGATCGAGACCATCCTGCTTAACATGGTGAAACCCCGTCTCTACTAAAAATACAAAAAATTAGCTGGGCATGGTGGCACATGCCTGTAGTCCCAGCTACTCAGGAGGCTGAGGCAGGAGGATTGCCTGAACCCAGGAGGCTGAGGTTGCGGTGAGCCGAGATCGGACCATTGCACTCCAGCCTGGGTCACAAGAGCAAAACTCTTGACTCAAAAAAAAAAAAAAAAAAAAAAAAAAAAAAAAAAAAAAAAAGGTAGGTTGACCCCTCACGCCTGCAATCCCAGCACTTTGGGAGGCTGAGGTGGGCAGATCACAAGGTCAAGAGATCGAGACCATCCTGGCCAACACAGTGAAACCCCATCTCTACTAAAGTATAAAAATTAGCTGGGCATGGTGGTGAGCATCTGTAGTCCCAGCTACTTGGGAGGCTGAGGCAGGAGAATTGCTTGAACCCGGGAGGCAGAGGTTGCAGTGAGCCAAGACCGCACCACTGCACTCCAGCCTGGTGCCTGGCAACAGAGCGAGACTCTGTCTCAAAGAAAAAAAAAAAAAAAAAAAAAGTAGGTTGACCCTTGAGTATTGTCTAAAATAGCTCATTTTCTACAAAGCTGTATACTCTTTATGTAAGTTTACTTTTAGAAATACCAGGAAATTGGCCGGGCGCGGTGGCTCAAGCCTGTAATCCCAGCACTTTGGGAGGCCGAGGCGGGTGGATCACGAGGTCAAGAGATCGAGACCATCCTGGTCAACATGGTGAAACCCCGTCTCTACTAAAGGTGCAAAAAATTAGCTGGGCATGGTGGCGCATGCCTGTAATCCCAGCTACTCTGGAGGCTGAGGCAGGAGAATTGCCTGAATCCAGGAGGTTGCGGTGAGCCGAGATCGCGCCATTGCACTCCAGCCTGGGTAACAAGAGCAAAACTCCGTCTAAAAAAAAAAAAAAGAAAGAAAAAAAAGAAATACCAGGAAATTATCGTTAATACATTCAAAGATTAAGCTACAAGGATGTTCATTATAAGGTGACCTATGTTAGCAAAAATTCAAAAATTACCAAAATATTCAAAATGGTAGTGATTAACTATATCATGATTATGTCCCAACCCATGATGTGCTTTTCACTAGTCATGGTATATTTTTAATTGAACAAAAATTGTATGAAAGAATAGAAAAAACATAAATAGGCCCACACAAATATGTCCAACTGATTATTTTTACAAAGGCACCAAAACAATTTAATTGAAAGAATAGTCTTTTCAACATATGGTGCTGCAGCAATTGGGCATCCATAGGCAAAGAATGAAATAAATAAAATTATTTAATAATAAATAGTTAAAATTATTGTGCAAAATTATTTTACACAATAACTACTTCATAAAGGATCATAGATTTAAATTTAAGACTTAAAGCTAGAAAACATGTAGAAGAAAATCTTTGGGGACTAGTGACAGAGTCAAGAGTCCTTATATATGAGCGAAGAGTTCTTATATATGAAATTTTGTGGATAAGAGAAGAAAAATTGACATTTTAGGCTGTGTTAAAGTTAAAACTTTATGCTCTGCAAAAGTCTCTGAGAGGAGAATAAAAAGACAACCTACAGACTAGGGAAAAGTGCCACCCACATATCTTACAAAGGACTTGAATCTAGAATAGATAAAGAATTCTCAAAACTCTGCAAGAAATAAAAAATTATAAAATCAAAAATCTAATTGGAAAATGGGCAAAAGACATGAATAGATATTTTATTAAAGAGGAGATGGGTATGGTAAATAAATACACAAAAAGATGTTCAACTTTATTAGCCATTAGGAAATACAAGTTAAAGCCATAATGAGATGTTACTGTCCACCTATCAGTATAGCTAAAACGAAAACTGATGATAGTAGCAAATGTTGGCAAGGACACGGAGACATTGAATCACTCATACATTGCTGTTAGAAATAAAAAATGGTACAGTCACTCTAGAAAACAGTTTGGCAGTTTCTTATAATAAAAACATTTTGATATGCACTTACCATACCATCTAGCAATTGCATTCCTAGGCATTTATGCCAGAGAAATACAACTTATGTCGTGGAGGAAGACCGTGTTTCAAAGAACAGACAAACAAACTTGTGTACACCCAAAAACCTGTATGTGGTTTTTCATAACAGCTTTGTTTGTAATAGTCAAAAACTGGAATCAATCCAAATATCCTTTGGCAATGAATGGTTAAACAAACTGTCATCTATCTGTACCATGAAGTACTTCTCAGCAATATAAAGGAATGAACTATGGATACACATAGCAACTTAGATGGATCTCAGGGAAATTATAGTGAGTGAAAAAAGCCAATCTCAAAAGGTTACACGTGCATGATTCTACTTATATAACATTCACACAGTGGCAACCTTCTAGAGATGGAAAGCAGATTAATGATTGCCAGGATTTAAAGATGGGACAGAAGAAGGAAGGGAAATGGGTGTGACTATAAAGAGATGACACCGAGGACTTTGTGGGTGATATAATAGCTGGGTATTTTAATTGTCGTAGTGGTTACATAAATCCATATATAGTATAAAATTGCATCTCTCTAATGACCAGTGATGATGAGCTTTTTTTAAATATGTTTGTTGGCTGCATAAATGTCTACTTTTGAGAAGTGTCTGTTCATATCCTTTGCTCACTTTTTGATGGGGTGTTGCCTCAATATTCACAATAGCAAAGACTTGGAAGCAATTCAAATACTCATTAATGATAGACTGGATAAAGAAGTATGCAGTAAACTACTGTGAACTTCCTATCAGGTGTTAGAAAGTAACTAGTTAAAAGTTTATTTTAGAATATATGGTCTTTGGGGATGAACTAAGAATTAGTTATTAGTTCCAAAGGACTGAGAACCAGTTTTATTATTTTCACATTTATAGGAAAGAAATTCATATGTCCCTGAAGCTTCCAGGACAAAACCAAACAACTAAGGAGGGAACTGGTACAAAGCCATTTCATTGAGAAAGGGACAGTAGGAGAAACAGACACACATGTACACAGACAGAATGGTTGAGAAAATGTTTTGATAGAATGTGAGGGTTGTATGGACATGTGTATGTATTTACACTTAACCTCTAAAATTCTCTTCTGCAGTTCTTTATTATGAATATGATGGAAAAGCAACATTTTGGTAATGAGACTATTATTAAAATAGATTTAAGAAAGATGAAAATTTTGTGAGTCTTGATAATTATAACTCAACAGCTACCAAAAGTTAGCACAGCTTGTCTGTGGTGCTGTTTTTTCCCCCCACAGAAAATTTTTTTTACTGTCCACAGTGGACTTACTCTATTTTCATGTTTAGAAACAAAAAGGTTTCATGTGATTCATGTGTAAGATGCACAGTATTTGACATCCTGCTTATGAAATCCCTATTCCATCTATCCAGTCTTATACTTATGGTTGGCCTCAAATCTGTTGCATTTATGACAATGTATTATATCTAGTTAATTTGAGTTTAATATTTTTTATTAGCCTGTAAATAAAGATGGCATCTTCTACATTAAAAAAAAAAAGAAAGTATGCAATAAAAAAAAAATCTAATTATGGGAAGAAGGTATGTGGGAAAAAATAATGAAGATTTTGACAAAAGATCAAGACAAGAATTAAAGAGATGTCACAAGTGAAAAAAATACATATTTTTAAAATATATTAATATTAATAAAATAAATACACTTATTTTTGTAAAAAAAAAAGTATGGCACGTATACACCATGGAATACTATGCAGCCATGAAAAAGAATGAGTTCATTTTTTCCATCATTTTTCCACACTGCCACAATGGTGCACATGAATGTCTTGGCTGATGCTCTCAAGAGCATCAACAATGCCAAAAAGAGAGGCAAACGTCAGGTGCTTATTAGGCTGTGCTCCAAAGTCATCATCTGGTTTCTCACTGTGACGATGAAGCATGGTTACATTGTTGAATTTGAAATCATCGATGATCACAGAGCTGGGAAAATTGTTGTGAACCTCACAGGCAAGCTAAACAAGTGTGGAGTGATCAGTCCCAGATTTGATGTGCAAATCAAAGATCTGAAAAAATGGCAGAATAATCTGCTTCTATCCTGCCAGTTTGGTTTCATTGTACTGACAACCTCAGCTGGCATCATGGACTGTGAAGAAGCAAAATGAAAACACACAGGAGAGAAAATCCTAGGATTCCTTTTCTAGTTATGTAATACATGTATTTACAAATAAAATGCCTCATGGGAAAAAAATAAGAATGAGTTCATGTCCCAGGCAGGGACTGGATGAAGCTGGAAACCATCATTCTCAGCAAACTAAAACAGGAACAGAAAACCAAACACCGCATGTTCTCACTCATAAGTGGGAGTTGTCAATGAGAACACATGGACACAGGGAGGGGAACATCATGCACCAGGACTTGTTGGAGATTGGGGGGCTAGGAGAGGGTTAGCATTAGGAGAAACACCTAAATGTGGATGACGGGTTGATGAGTGCAGCAAACCACCATGGCACATGTATACCTAAGTAACAAACCTGCGTGTTCTGCACATGCATCCCAGAACTTAAAGTATATATTTTTTAAAAATCTCATGAAACTACACACAGAGACAAACACATATACAGAGGTAAACGCTGTGAATTCTGAACAAAGCCTGTAGTGTAGTTAAAGGTACTGTGCAGATGTCAGTTTTCTGCTCTTGATTTACATAAAGTGTAGCCAGATGGGCAGTGGCTCATGCCTGTAATCACAGCACTTTGAGAGGTTGAGGCAGCTGGATCACTTGAGGCCAGGAGTTCAAGACCAGCCTGGCCAACATGGCAAAACCCTGTCTCTACTGAAAATACAAAAATTAGCCAAGTGTGGTGGTACATGCCTGTAATCCCAACTATTCAGGAGGCAGAGGCATGAGAATCGCTTAAACAACCAGGAGCTGGAGGTTGCAGTAACCTGAGATCAGGGCCATGCACCCAGCATGGGTGACCGAGCGAGACTTTGTCTCAGAATAAAAATAGAATAAAATAAAATGTTGACAACTGGGGAAGCAGGATGAAGGATATTTTGGACTCTTTGTACTATTTTTGCAATTTATTTTTTTATTATTTTTAATCCACTCACCTGCACACAGATATACTTGCAGTTCCTTACAGTTTATGATTATTTCAAAGTTTCAGAAGTCTATTAAACAATATGTATACTACAACTATGTATAAATAATTTTAATTTGATGTCTATAACATGCTTATATGGCAATATTTGTTACAGAGTAGGCACTTCATTAAAGAGGCTCTCCTTTTTCCCCTTAACCTTCTGGATATTATGCATCTTGTGCCTCACCATGCTTCCTCCCTAGTTTGTGGCCTGAAACAGCACCTTTGTTGCCTCTGGTATACTAGGTTATGTATTTCTGTGTGGGAAGCTTACCCTTGGCCTTATTACAGTTCAATCTTTATTTTTCTTGTCCCTTACCTTTCTTAATCCTTAAATGTACCATTAATACATTAGGGTAGGATGTTCATTATAAGGTGACTTGTGTTGGCAAAAATTCAAAAATAACCGAAATATTCAAAATGGTAGTGATTAGCTACCATAGATGGTGTACCTCTCACTTATATATATGTTTGGAAGCCAACTTACATATCTTGCGGAAGGTGTTGGGGTGGAGGGTACTGAGCAAGTGTTGATGGGTTCCCTCATTCTCCACCATGACTGGGTGCCAAAGAGGACCCTTCCCTGTTTCTGTAGCAGACAGACCTTTCAGAGTTTAAGAGAGCCCACTCTGCTTTAAGCAGAGTTCCATTTAAAGAAGATCTAACAAAGAATTGGCAGGCAGAGTCACTTCATACATTCAGCACTTGATTCCTCGGGTGACTATTAGCTGCTCTGTGTAAAGCCCACAGCAAATTCTTAATCTTCAACCAGCTTTCACCTATCATCCAGCTGGTTTTTGCTTAGGAAATTAAAGTTGATGAAATTAAAGTTAAAATTAAGTAAATAAGCAAAATAAAATTAGGAAAGAACTCTGTGTTTCAAAGGAGGCATGTGATACATTCCAAAAATAAGTAGTCATCCCAGATTGTAACCTGAATTTTAAAAATCAATTTTAGCAATTAGTTGTAATATATTGTTACAGTTATTGATAGACATGTTTTTCTTCCATTGAAAAGTACTGTCATTGAAAAAAAAAAGACAAGAAACTTATTATTTCCTAAACATTAATAGTGGGGAAAAACATATGCAAATAAGTATGAAGATATTTTCTCTGGCTCTGGAATGGGATCAGGATATGTATGTTCTGGTATATATGCTTAAAATCCTTCCACCTGGTCAAAATGCTTTCAAAAGAGAAAGAATAGCTGATGGCTCTTGTTCAGACTGGAAAGTATTGTGATTACACTGAAAAGCATGGCCCCTCTTGAAGTTTGGTTTTTTACTTCTTTTATTTGAGTATAAAGCAAGAAGGAGGTTTCTCTAGGATGTCCTAATAGAAGCTTTTGAATGATCTGCAGAGGTAGCATTGAGGTGAATGGAGTCCATCAAGATTTGCCAGAAGTATGAAATAATTATCGAAAGGATTCCATTAGAGACGAAAGCTACCTAGACTAACAGAGACAGAAAAGGCTGACCCTTTTCAGGCTCTTAACTCTCTCTAATGGATGGCCTTACGTTGAAATCAAGACTCAACTGGATCATTGATTCTTAAAGAAAAAATATTGAGCATAGTGGCATATAAGCAAAAGCTGGAAAAGTGGTCAGATAGATTTATCTTTCAGTTATAGCTTGTAATGAAAAGTATATTTTTTACCTTTTTCCAAGCTCACAGGAATGGAGGCTAAACAATGTGATATATTCTCATAATGTAAAAATTAGTTTTAATAAAGAAACAAAAGTCTTACTTTAACAAATACAGCATGTTTCCACTCAACAAAAAGGAAGCTACAGATTTTTTTGGATAGGTGTCATTATGTGTTACCAATTAGGCAACACGGAGTGTTCTTTGGCTGGTCATTGACCCATGGGTCAAATCCTGCACTTGACTCTGAAGGGATCATGGAAGTGCTGCTCCTGCTTGAACATTGGAGCTGCATGTTGCAGTGCATGCTTCAGTAGCCCACGTGCAAAGCACATACTCACATACGGACCAGGCTGAGCCATGCAAGGCACACATGCCTAGCTAGGGCAAACAGGATCAAATCCTTGAAATTATCTAAAATGTCCTGCATTTGTTGAAAACGGTGACTGATGCCTTTGCCTTGGTTGTTCCAAAGCACTTCATTGCTGCTGGGTAGAAGTGTTCTGAGTGTCAGTTTGGTAATTAAGTTGTTATGGAGGAAAAATTGCTAATAATAAATAAAGATACTGCCATTGTCTGAGTGTAGGGTCAACGGAAGTCATGGATATCAGAGAGAGAAGCAAAATTGCAGATGAGGCATTTTGGTTGTCATTTGTTAACGTTAGATTGTTCCTGATGAGCAAGAAGTGGCCAGTAAGATGAAGGTCAATGCAAAGAACTTATTTTTAGAGCTCACACATAGCACTAGGATTAATTTTTAAAAATTCTGTATCATTTACATGGGCACATCAGTACACTCAATATACTCGTTAAAAACTAGATCGTTAATAAATAAGATTAGCATTCAAATAGATATCCTGAGAGAACAGAGTATCTATTTGGAAAACCTAGAGTACAATTAAGGGAAAGGAACCTAGAGTACAACTAATGAATCACCTTGCTTGAGAATTATATATCATGAGTGTAACTTTGCACTGAGGGTAGTAAATAATCCTATAATAATGACTCAGCTGATACTGGAAATACAATTCTATCGTTATTTTCTGATTTATCTAATTTAAAACTACTAAGTGTTTTAATTCGTTATTAAAGGTATTATTTTAATCAATAGATTAATATTGGCTAAATATATATACATACAACACTTATGTATATAAGCCAGGTGAAGTCAAATATAGGTAGACTTTTACTAACAAAATGCTTTATGAAATATAAAATATTTCTTTTAAATATAGTATGACCTAAATGCTTCTCTTAGTTCTTCACCTTCAGAATAACTTTTTTGCCTCATTATGTTTTTGTGTTATATTTGTATGGGTACAGTTTTAAAACAAACCTTTATATACATTTTTTTCAATTCTTTCTAAAAAATTTTATGAATTAAATGAGACAAATATCATTGCCTCCATTTCACAGAGGAGAATACTGAGGCTTACTAGCCTCAAGTAAGTGATTTAGCCAAAGTCACACAACAACTAAGGGTGTAGTCTGGGGTGGAATCTGTCTTCTGATTCCTTTAAATAGTGTGGGGTGTGGGTATGTGTTTAGGTATTGGTAGCGCAGATGGTGAGGGTGATTGCTCTTCACAGTTGAAGATAGACTGATGGCCTTTGTGAGAGAGTTATTTGATTAGTAACAGAGAGATGGAGGGAGGCAGGAAAGGAGGAAGAAAGGGAGAAATGAAGAGATGAAATGAAAGAAAAAATAATAAATTCACGGGCCCAGTTCTTTCAGTGCATGGGAAAACCAATGACTGCTGAATGTCTAACTGTTTGCCTATATTTTCCTGTTGAGACTCATTTGTATGCTCTTCAGACCACATGACACCTTTGTTCAAAGAAGAAGCACTACATCACAGTTAAGAGTGTCATCCAACCCAGTATCAGCTAATGGAGACTAAGCTATTTGCAAGGGAACATCAGCACAGGCATGGCACTGGAGAACATGACATTAGTTGAAACCAAACTAGGATGAACACCAGCACTTTGTAGTTAGGAGATTTAGAATAAAGCTGTTGAAATAATAAACATATTGGTATTAGAAAATGAGGTTTATTATTAAATTGTTTTGTTCAGAAATCTCCTACTTTTATATATACTATGTTATATCTAGAAATGTCTGCATGAAACTTTATGGAAAATGCAGTTTTTCCTGATTCTGTATAATTTTTATAATAGTCACAGAATTAATGTGTTCCAAGAGACTCTAGTAATTTTTAGTTACCTCTCCAGCATGTCATGAGAGGTAAATAAATCAGTGAGTGTGAAGCTCCCTCTACAAAGTTGAGCTTTGCCATGAATGAGTGACCCTGCCTAACTGCTCAGCAGTGTATCTCCATCAGCAGTGTTCAGACACAGATGGGTGACTGAAGGT